ACACAGCAGCCAACATCACAGCAGCCAAAACTTTTGTTAATTGGGTCAGTTAGTTCATATTGCCTGACTGCTCAATTTACTCACTTTCACTGATTTTTATGTTTTTTTTTTAAATACGCAGATAGTTTTTTGCTGGCTAAGTTCAAAAAGCAAAAAATTCAGAAGGCTGCTGAATGGGAAAAAGTGAAATACATTTTTTCTTCAATGTTCAACATGCTCTAAATTTTTTACAGAGACTCAAAAATGTTCCTTATTATATGTATGTACTAGAGCTTACCACTTGCCAACCAATCACCAGCCACTTCATTACCTTTTACTTATTTTGGTTTAAGCTTTCTCAGTTTTACAGCCGTTATCAATAGCGCTTAGTCGGCCAGCTGAATTCTTTTTCTGCATGTAGTTAAAGCAGCTTAGCATTCACCAATAATTATCTAGTTAAATTAGCACTGTGCACATTCTTTTCTATTTGCTTTTGTTTCCTATTTTGCACTCTTCCGTTGCTTGTCACCGACTGTTAGTCACTGTCACTGTCACCTTTTCGCCAGTCACTGCATAAATACTCTGCATTAGACCACACATGCATACTCGCACCTTTTTCTTGTTCACACACACACACACACACACACACACACACACACACACAAACACTAAACAAAATACTTCTTTCGCCCAATTTTTTGAAATTGCTTTTACCGACTTCTTAGTTGGACACGTTCGCGCTACTTTTGCCAGTAACTGTATGACTGACTATAATTCGCTTGCTACACGTTATTTTGTTAAGCTAAAAGATTGTTGCTCTGACAGCCAGCTGTTAGATATTATATACATATACATATACATACATATATGTATTGATTATGTTACACGAGATCGTAAAAACTGGCCAAGGAGCTGCTGCACATGTGGTCCATGGTGTTTAGTTAGCTTTTAGCGAATGCAGTGAAGAAAGTTGAAGAAGATGAGCGCTAACTTTACTCATCGGCATTTCTTATTGATAGCAAAGATGAGTGCATTTTACCATACACCAAAGAGTCATGCAATTTTTTTTTTTGCACAACTGGTTTTCTGTCGATCGCCAATTGCTTACTTAAATGCTTCTATTAACTTTTATTTGGAGTGCATACCGCATGGTGCAGTCGTTCTTCTGGGTATGCAGCTACAGGAGCACGGCTTAACTCAATCCCGACTCTGCATCCTCGTTCGTGCACTTGGGGAATTGTGAGCAACCGATGTGCGAGATGCGGTAACCAAATTCGCCTGGTGCCTTGGGTCACGGCAGAAAGAGAGGGTTGGTTTCAGGGTTCACTGAAGCCTTTAGCGTCTGTTCACCATGAGGTGCGGCTGCAAGCGGGCGTCTATCTTGGAGCGAGCGGCTGGCCTTATAAACGTGTATTTGGTTGGGGTTGGGAATCGCCATGTAATAACTGGTTCACCACACTGAGATGGCATGCCCATTTTTGGACCGGATGTTTATAAGCTATTTTAGCTATATACTCCTTCCCTCAGTAGACTACTAAAATTCATAAAATAGTCTTCTAAGTTTGCTGAGTAGTATCCGTTAAATCCTTTTTCAAAGCCTTAAGAAAAATGGGGAATATTGCCAGAGTGCTTGAAAAAATTAGTTTTAGTTTCACCGGTCACTCACAATAAGTACATACATACATATGTATGTATGTAATATGTAAGCAGCAGTAGCGAAAATATATTTGGCGTTTCTTTAGTTCATTTTACAAATTAATAGCGCCTAAGTGCATGCTATAAATTAGTATTTGCTTGCATAGGGAATGACTACTATGTGAACAATGGTTTTATTGTGGTTATAAAAAGTTTTCGGACAAATATTGGATTTTTATATTTATAGCTGAGCACTCACTGGAGCTCTTGTTAACGTAGCTACACTTGTAGTCGATTAGCAACCTTTTCGGTCGATTGACAGTCGAATAGCAGTTATTCGATTAACCGCTTGATTTTTGCTTCTTCTTGAAGCTTTGGAAAACGCTCAACAAAAGAAAGAAAGGGTAAATCGAAAATGCCTATTACGGTCAGCTGTTAAAGCCACCAGAAATAACCAGTCAGCGGTCCCACAAGTTTTCTGCTGTCCCATCTGCCCAAAGAAAGCAAATACGCAGCAAGACCCCCTCCGCGATTAAGCGCAACATGAGTTTTGCCCACTTGCATCCAATCGAAGTCTCTCAGTCATTGCTGAACGAAATATGCACCCGGTTTCTCTGACAGTGGCTTCAATGACAGATGGTTGGAGTGCTATATCTGTTTGCGGACCAAGTAGTGGCCAGTTATTCCCAGGTGAAATGGCACCCAGAATCAAAAGTGTTCGTTATATTATCCAACAAAATTTAATCCAGATTTGCATTGCCGAACTAGTTTCAAAGTATGTAGTTAGAGGACTGGAAAATACCTTAACGGCTGCTTTCCCAGTAAAGTCTGTCCCTGTTACCTTCGATATAGGCTTCATGCCGCAACCGTGTGTCAATTTTGGCGCCCTCAGTGAAGATTCCAAAATTTAGAGGCCTAGGTCTCTTATTGGGATTAAGTAAGAGCTCGGCTTTAGGCCCTCAACAATGTGGTATATCTTCATCAAAGGCAACGTACAAGTCTGTTGCATTGAATAGGCATTAACGCCAATATCTCTGCAAAGACTGCAATTACCGCCACCGTGGCTGAGGGCATTAAGTGATGGTTGGTTTAGCAGCGCTCTAGATGAGCCTCAGGTGTTGTAAGGACACACTCTAAAAAATCTGTTTGAAAATGCGACTATAAATCGAGTATATTTTTGTTTATTTTTAAATTTTTTTGGTAAATTTACACGATGAATATGTGTTTTTTTCGTTTACAGATTTTCGTGTGTAAAAATCCTTTTTGTTAGCGGCTTTACACAATTCTACGGGTGAAATTAAACAGCAGATGTGTATTTTGTAGCTTGTACACACCTTCGTAGTAAATTTACGCACACCACAGTAGCTATATTACACTCTAAAAAGTCCGAAATTTAAACAAACTATTCGTTTAATAATCAGGCATGTAACTTCGCGAATAGTAAGGTAGGAAATCAGTAACCTACCTTTTAGGTAGGATATCTACACAATTTTTTTTTAGAGTGCAGCTGCAGTACGGCGCACTGCGGTTGTTCTTTGAATTTGGGCAAGCTGATTTCAGCACAAACTTGAATGAGAGTCTGCTCCACCAACACACAAATGCACAGCTACTAATGGACCTCATTATGGAAGTGTAAGACCACAGGTTTCTTCCCGGAACAATATTAAAAATTTGGAGACCTATTGTTTAACGTGATACTTGCAAAGAAGTGTAATTTCTAGAAATACGTCTAAATAATTTAAGGCGGAAGAAATCTAAATGGTAATTTCTTTAAAGAAGGGAGGACAAGGCCGTTCCACCTCCGCCTTCTAGTAAAGTCCTCTACACAAGTTTTGGTTGGGTTAACGGGCAACCGTTTCTCACTACACCAAATGCCAATTATATTCAGAGTTTTCTGAATAAAACGTGAGAGAGAGGTGTTGTAATGATGGAGGCCAAATCATCTGGTATTCGACCGCACTGACGGTATTGTCCACTTTATACCGGAGCAATGACTTTTGGGGATCTGCAACTTACCGCATCCGCCTGCAACATTTTGTTTAATTACTTTGTGGTTGTAATTAACTGGCTTATCAATGTCATTGATGCTGTGCTTTAATCTCACCTATGTAACGGCATACTGTACATCGTTAAAGAAAATCACAATATTAGTCCGAGGAGATGACCTCGAAGGTCATCTTTCTAAGTTGGCGGGTAGCAAGGCAAAGTATCAGATTTCTTCCACCTACGGCTACTAAATATGTTCACATATAACATATATGTATAAGTAATACTTAAGCGGTTGAGAGTATTTCGTCTACTGTAATTCCCCATTCAATTTTAGTAATCGCCCCTAAACAGCTTTATCTTAAGGTATGCAAACAAAACCACATACAATAAATAAATAAATAATTTATTAAGTATATACGCAATAATTTAATACATGCTAACTTAAAACGATTATAGCTTACATATTTATAAAAATTAAAAGATTACGAAAATATTGACTTTTTTTATCTTATTTCAGATCATTTGGTGAATCTAAATTCAATTGTCGCCCATAGCCGCCATAGCCACTACCGCTGTGACCTCCGCCGCCCCCTCCTCCCCCCATGTGACCATGCCCTTCATCATATGAGTGCATATGGCTGGAAGAGTATACAGGTTTCGAGACAATTTCGTATGTGGTCGTTTTACCGCCACCGCCGGAAGCTAAACTCTTCAGACCTAACACACTGGAGAGTGTTAAGGCCATAAGCGCCGTCATGAGGGCTTTACCTGCCAGCAGAGCCACGGCACCCATACCAAGGGCCATGAGTGTGCCTGAGGTAGATAAAAGAAACGCAATTTCATTAAGCTACCTAAATTATTTAGTAAATTCATGTGCTTACCTTTCATCGCGAGCCCAGCGGCAAGTAGCGCTTCCAAGCCACCCTTTTTGCCAAATTTTCCTTTACGTCCCGTCTCTACAGCCGAGCGTGCTTCCGCTAATGTCTCATTGTCGATCAATTTGAAGCGTAGAAAATGAGTTTGCAAAAAACTACTCAGCTTATTGATAATATAACCGTTAAGTCGCGAGTTGGGATCATTTGGATAACTGCGGGCTACATCTGCGGATGAAAAATGGTAAAAATATGTAAATAAGTGGAATGACAAGTTACCCAACACAAATGTATGTTTGCATAAGTGTATTCGTAATAGGTCGTTTTTTTGTGATGTGTTATGTGTTAAAAAATTAAGCGAAATACGGTTCTTTTTTTAATTTAGCCGATATAAAATCCCAACAAGCCAAGTCCTACAATAGATTTTTATATACCATTTTAAAGGCCTATATATCCTTTTCTCAGATAATATTCAATCTTTGAAATTGAATCAAAAATAGTTATTCAAAAACTCATAAATCTGCAAAATCGTAGTTTCCCACCTAAAACGACCGGTCGCGACCTCTAAATGACTTTTAAAAAATGTATAAAAATAGGCAATAATATTTCTCATAATCACGAATAAACTTAGGGGGTAAGGTCTTCAAATTCCCAAAAAAAAAAAAGCATTTTCGATGGGCACCCTAATATGTATATACTACATTTACGGTGACCATCCGTCCTATAGTGTACGGGACAGTCCTCTTTTTTGACCCATTGTCCTGGTAATATATTTATTTTATCGGGCACGCCAAATGTTCTGTATTTCTTTTAATGTCGTATGTTTGTCCCGTATTCGGTGTTTCGGCGTCTTAACAGCTCATTTAAATGGCATACCTATGAACGAGTTTTAAGTGATGTTGGTATATGATTGTAATTATCTCCATAAACAGTTATTTTTTCCTAATCTGAATGCCTACGATTCGAATCGAGGAATACATAAAGTTACCAAAATAGAAATTAGGACTTGATGTTTATTATTTATTTATTTTATGAAAGTATAGCTCTTTTCCTAACAAAAACCATATAACACCAAATTTTCAACTTTGTTCAAAAAACTATAAAAATTAATTCGGAAATGTTTCACCAAAATTTCAAAGTTTTTAATTAGAATCTTTAGAAAAAAATCTGGTTAGCAGTTTTTTAACTCATTAAAATTGAGTATAATAAAGTGCGAGTGGAAAGTGCTGCTCATTTCTTCTGTTTCAAGAAAACGGACGAACAAAGTATTTATTAATTTGTATGAAAAAATGCGTAGTACCGTCAACAAAAAAAAAATTGCCAAAAATTAATAATAAACCTTAGCGACTTAAAATAGCATAAAATTTAACGATTTTTTTTGTTAACAAATTTTACGGGGTAAAAATCTCGAGAAAATGATCCTACAAATTCGTGAAGGATACTGTTTCAGGGCTAATACATCTAAAATCATTGAAGAAGGCTTTAAGATTTGTAAGCTGTTGTGGAAACAATTTGCAAAATTATTTTTTGTCTCTCATAAATATGGTCACCGTAGCTATATTTTATAAACGAAAAAGCTAAAAACTCGTAAAGAAATTTCTCAAAAAGCTGGATTTCTCGCCGCTAAATGGACTTCGAAAAAGCCAAATTTTATGGGAAAATAGCTACATTGGCGAAATGCTGCGCGAACAATCAGACGGATGTGTTCGCTCCTAGTGCCCAGCCAAATTTAACAAGGGAGGGCGGAAACTCGTTCCAAAATACAGCGCTCATGATCTGTTTGAAGAAAAGTCGTTCTTCGAATAGACAAGACGAAATTTATCTAAAAAATAAAATTTATAAATTTTATAATTTTGCATGCTGTTCACAGATTGCTCAACAAGAAAATGATTGATTAATCGCTGTGAATGAGGAACGTTTATAGGGATCTAAAAGATAAAAATTGTAGGGGATTTGCTCCAATCATGGAATTGGAGGAAAATAGTATGAAAGAAGAGGCTTATAAAAATACATATGTATACAAACATAGCCTTATTAAACCTTTATATGATCAAAGTTCACAGGTAAAGTATTATAAAAATATTTGTATTTAAATTGTTTTTCGAGCTCAGAGTTTTGTGTCATCCGGGTAGGCTCATTAATTTAGTCAGGTAACATATGTACACTAGTGAATCCCCACGTCGTTAGAACGCCCTAACTTGAATTTCAAAAACCTAAAAAGTATTCCAAATGTTAGTCAGAGTTATAAGCCATCCACGTGCCATATTTCATCTAAATCCGTGCAGCCGTTTCGGAGAGAGGAAAGGTCACGTTTAGTGCAGCTTTTTAATTTCAACAAATTTTAAATCACCATATACCGTTAAAAAGTTCTTAATAAAAAAAAATAAAACTTTATCGTTATGTTTTTCGAGCTAAATTTCTTTTGTATATTTTCTATAAAAATATCGCCCAAGCTTTAACCAAAACTATATAAATCACAGCTTGAAACTTGATAAAAAATTTAGTAAAATTCAATAAATTTTCACCAGCTTTTGTATATTGCACTTGTTATAAAAAAAAAAAACGCAAAAGCAGTCTAAAAAAAAAACAAAAAAATCTCAAAAAGAAATGTGATTTTTAGCCAGTTGAAACTTGCACTTCAGTAGACTAACATTGTATGGCCTGTAAAACTGCATACCCACAAAAATGTTCTAAAGATTGACGTTAAAAAGTTGAAATTTTGATGGAAATGTGCTTTATATGGGTTTGGTTAAAGCTTGTGCAAGCGAGTGAACAAAAAATACATACGGGCAAGAACGGAAGAACACACTTGCACTTTATTATATGTACAAAAATTGAATGAGCCATAAAACCGTATACCCAAAAAATTTTGAAAATTCTGAATAAAAAGTATGACATTTTGATGAACATTTGACAATTTTTTTTATTGCTACAAAGTTAGAAACTGAGTTTTATGGATTTTTTTTTGCATTTTGAACAATTTTTTTATTGAAAATTAATAAAATTAAAAAAAAAAAAATTGAAAAAAATTAAAAAAATTACTATACGATTTTCACTGACACTCACGTATGAAGCAAAATACAGAAGCGACGCTCCTAGCCATTGGGTGTCTAACCTTTAAGTTATCGCTTAAAATTTTTTTCATCTCTCATTTGTCTTACGATTGCTCTCTAGTACAACTCAATAATGCCGTTAAATTTTCAGTAAGCACAAATAAATCAATATTTCTTGCACTTTTACCTACCTGCCATTAAATCGTTGGTTTTCACTTCCGACGCATTGACATTTCGCACCACACTGATGCCGGGTGCTATTGACAGCTCCTCTTTATCAGCCAGCCGCTCCATAATTTTCACGAATTCTATTTTCAAACAAAACCAACTCCACTGCGTGCGACACTCGGCAAAGGCACGTTTCATGGCATCACGTTTAGTATTGCTCGTGCTCCTGCTAATACTATCTGTGGATGTAAGATGTGAGAAAGGCGGAGGCTTAATGCTATTCTCGCTGATTGTATCCTCAGAAGTGGGTACAGTGGCTGCGTCTGCGAATTTTAGTAGTAAAATAAAAAATCCCAAGTAAAGCAAATATTCCATAGTCCTTCGGGGCAACATTCCGAAAGCGCGCGTGCGTATGTATGTACTATGTATATCCTTCAATTGATTGATTCACTTTGACAGACAGGCACTTTGCTAACGCTTTCGACGGGCTGCTGTTGTACGCCACACTATCACTAACTAACGACTGTTGATCGACATTGAAGTGATCTCAATTTTATACGTTAATAAAAAAAGAAATGCAGAAATTGCGGTAAAATGATGGAAGCGAAATTACCTAAAAATTTTACGATACGCAAGGAGAGGCAGTACTATTAAGTTTACGACGGCCGCAGTAGCGGCGGACAGCTGTTCAATGTTTCCCTTTCACTGTGGCAGCATGGTGGAACAGCAGCAAATGAAAGGAACAACGCTAGACGACATAGACAGCAACGCCAGCTGCGTGGCGATAGTGTAAATCAGAAACGGTCAGGTTAGAAACAGAGCAGCTAAAATTAACGTAATTGCCGTAAAAATAAAAATTTTTATTTTCCTCTATAACTAAATTGTTTGTACACATATCCACATACTCTCTACTCTTATTATCGCCAAGAATCACTAAGGTGCGTCAGTAGCAGCAGCAGCCGCAGTAGAAATATTTAGTAAAAAAAAGTAAGCGTAAAATTCACAACAACAATTAGACATCATTAGCGCGCGCAGTGACAGTTGGACGAATTTCCAAACTCAGTGGAGCGTATGTAGTATATAAACTATTGAGTGGTCAGTCCAAACCACTAAAGCCACTAGCCAATCAGTAAAATGCTGGGCTCGCCCGGCCGACGTCTTGAAAATGAAAGTTTTCATAAAGGGAGTTTAGACGAGAAGAGCAAACAGGTGGACGCCACGAAACGCCCCACTTGCACTTTCCCTATTAAGCACCTATTACACTCAGCGTATACATTTTACTATTGTATGTAGGTACTCACTCGTATATATGACCATGGGGGAAATGCAAACCTAGACCAGTGGCGCACCCAAGAAATTTTTTTAGGGTAGGTTTAGAAAAAAATACTTTGTCAGTAAACAGAATTCGTATAAGACAATTTTTAGCAAGGCTTTCGATTTTGACCAACAAAACTTCCGTAAGTATGTGCGCGGTAAGTGAGTCCCTAATGAAACTACCTTAATTTACAAAGGCCCTAACCAAACAATTTTTTATTTTACAGGAGAATCAAAAAGTAGTATACAAATAATATCAAATACATGTAGGGATTTTTAAAAAGTGGCCTGCAACTCCGTTGTTTGTGGTACTAACACTTAGTTTTTCTTGAAGGTGTGCTTTCGAAAAAAAAGTAGGGAGGGGAATCAAGACAGTTCCAGCCGCAAAAATTTATAGCAGCCCCCGATTCCAAACCATTCAAATAAGTAAATTAAAAAGACCCCTTAAAACTCTGCTGAACAAAGGATAAAAGAAGCATACTATTGGTTCAAAAATAACATAAAAAATATTCCAATGCATATCAAGTGATGATTGAAATTTCCGTTGAATATTTTATTCATCTGTTGGTATCTCAAAAATTTTGGGGGTTGGAGTGAACCGCAAAATCCCCACAACCCCCTTTGTGTGCACGCACGGCCGAGAAAATAACCGCCTGTAATAAACAATAACATAAATAAAGCAAATCAAAACAAATAATTTTATCGCTAACAACACTCTACAGAACTATGTGGAAATGTGCAATAAAATAAGCTACAATAAAGTTGAAACAATAAAGCAAAAACTGCGACATTGACAATGAGAAAGTGCCGGAATTCGGAAAGACATAAAAGACAAAGCATGCAATAATGAGCAAAAAAAGGAATGGATAAAAACGAGAGCAGTAAATTTGTGGCAAGCCATGGCCAATTCCACTTGCTATCTCATGTCAAAGAGTTGATGGATTTTCTTTACATCCAAGAAGCTAATAGGTACTCGTAAAAACATTTATATTTACTACCGGAGGGTTTGCACGCGTTCCTCTCCCGCCTATATACTTTAATTAAATGGTAGTAGCAATGGTCGCGTGCCACGCTGATGTATAGTTAGACGATGCAATTGTCACTGGCAATTCCAGCTAGATGACACAGTGGTATGGCATAAATATTTTCGTGTATAAAAGAAACACTGCTATAAGCATATTCTGTTGATTTTTAATATAAAAAACGTATGTATGTATACATACATATGTGGTTTTAGGCGGTTGAGGATTGGTAAAACTTGTTTAAAAAATTTCCTACACCCTCAAATCAAAAGATCAGAAATTCTCGTAAATAAAGTAGTGCGAAGGATTTTAGATGATTTATGAGTAAAAAGTCGTTTGAGTCTTTTTCCTATTGACACCCAAACACTGTAGGCCCTTGGCGGCTAATGTGATAAGAAATAACAAATCTTTTATTCCCACTTCAGAGGACTGGGAAATGCCCTCAAGAAAAGTATTATCCCTAGAGGAGTACTGCAGGCAAAGACGGCTGTAGTGCTGGGCTGTAATGCCAGCGCCCATCAGCAAGTGTGGGACAGCTCAGACACTAATACCAGAGGGGATTCACTTGACAGTTTGCTCATCTAGTTTGCCTGTGTTTATCTCAAACTGGCACATATCAATTGAGGTATCTATATCGGACCATCAGCACAGTAGACGAGACTAACCAGATTTGAAAGGAATCCAAAGAAAACAAACCTAGGAACTCTTTTGCGTGCACTTACAACCGGAAGCGAATTTGTTTATGACGGATATTTTATACACGCTCGCCCTGGAAGTAGAATCCGTTCTACTCTAGGACACTTTCTCATCAGCCTTTGAAGCGAACTGTCCAAAGATGAATAAGAAATCTTAAAGGAACGTTCCTTGGTGGAAGAGCAATCTTAGCAAGCTTCGTCAAAAGGCTAGGAAATTATTCAACGGAGCCAAATGGACTGGTGACTGTTCATCATACAAATCAGCCCTAACTGCTTACAATAGTGAGCGCAGAAGATCCAAAAGGGACACATGGCATGAGTACTGCAGCGGAATATACACTGGCTGGATCACACAAGGCCCAAGTATTAACATGAATACTGTCAACGCAGTGCGTGTGAACAAGAGGATTGCAGGCCTTGCGGGCAGAATCTTCAACAGTGAAAGTTTTCAGTCGGCTATTTTAACGTTTAGTGCATACAAATCCCTTGGACCTGATGTTGTTTACCCATGCGTACTGCAGCAGGAGCTAAGGTCCATATCCGGTACCTTACTCAGACTTTTGAGAGCTAGTCTACTTCTTGGTTACATACCGTCATCATGGAAGGAGGTGCAGGTCATATTCATACCCAAAGCAGGGAAAACACAAAATCATATCTCAAAGGCGTATAGACCACTAATCCTTGGCTCTTTTCCAATCAAAACCTTAGAAAAAAACTAAGTTTTAGAAAACAGCCTATGCAGTGGTTATAAGTTTATATCGTCCAAAAAAACTGTGTTCAAACTTTTTCAACAAAACCACAAGTTAAAAAATGGGGCCACTTTAAACCCAACGGTCTTCAGGGGTTTACCTTTTTTCGAAAAATATGGGGAATCATAAGCCAATAAATGCAAAAATTAATGTTTTCTTAAATAATCTTGTTAATTTTTGCAAATTAAATGGCTTAAATTACCCATAGAGAAGGTTTTGTGCGCTGTGGCAAGTTCGCTGTATTCGCCGATATTGTGTTTCAGCTATTATAGTGAAAACTCTCGGATACGCAGCAGCGACATTAGCCTCACATTGGCAATACAAGATACTTAATGTCATTAGTCTTTGTCAAGAAGTCAGCAAGTTCCTTCTTCTCCTTCATATAATCGGAATTAGTAAATCATTTTGCGATTTGCCACCAACCAATTTCCAGCTTCTCCGCACTTCGCTATAATAAGATAATGTTTTAGTTTTATTTTAATCAGTACTTTGTTTTCATCTTACGCCTCTTCATGATCGGATTTGGCTTAATATGACACCCATACAACTACACGTGTATATTTCCACATTCAATTTTTACAGTTAAGATAAATATAGAAGAAGAAGGAAATTATGTAAGAACTGCATATAAAAATGTATCAGTTATTACTGAGAATAGTTATGCAAAGGCACTTGTAATGTACTTTGTTATTAAAAAAAAGGAGGAATACTCAATTGTGCATTTTTTTATTTAACATACATACTAAATACTTGTGTACCTATGTATACAAAAATATATGCATGAGTGCATCTACATGCTAACATACATATACATATATTGATGTATTTATAGTTTATTTTTGTGCGCTTTTTTCTCGTAAACCAATCTTGAGTAAATTTCTTTCGTTACTTATACTATTTTGCTTTCTCATATGTCAGTTTAGCTAAGACGACTTAATTCAAAAATTAAAATTTTTGAGTTAATATGTGTTTACATTCGCATACATATATACATATGTATGTATGGTTGTATATAAAAATAAAAGTAAAATTTTAAAATTGCATTGGAAAACAGGTGATTACGCCACCGAAGAAAGCATGAAAATCGATAATCGACGTTAAAACAATTAAAGTTAGCAATTAAAGCAAAGCAAGTAAATGCAAATGAAGATGTTAATAAATTCTTTATACATATAAGTATGTATGTATATGGATGTAACGACATACAAATACATTTACTTTTATTTGGTTCACATTCATGAAATAAGCCGAAGATAGATTAATATATACACTGCCTTGGGAAAGTATGAACTCACTTGCTGCCAAAAAACCATTGTTGCGACCGGTAAACGTTCGTTAACGACTCAAATGGGCAAACAACAAAATAACTGGTATATTGAACAATGGAAACAGGTGTTATGGAGCGATGAGTACTAATTCGAAATTTTTGGTAGCGAACGGCGAATGTACTGCCGCAAAAAATCAAATGAACGGCACGTATGTACCTCAATGAGGAAAGCCAGCAGTTAAATTTGGCGTTGGTAGTGTGATGGTTTGGGGGTATTTTTGCTACGATAGTGTCGGCGCCTTGGTGAAAATCGACGGAAAAATACGGAAAGCACACTATCACCGGATACTTCAGCGAAGCGCTATTCCATCTGGCATTGATTTGATGGGGAAAAGGATTGCGTTTCAGAATGATAACTGCACCAAACATTCCTGAAACTTTGTACGAATTAAATTCATGTGCTGTTGTGGGATGAGTTGGACAGAGGGGTGCGATAAACTGCCTGCAACCAGCGAAACTCACTTGTCGGAACGTCTTCAGCAGGCTTGGCAACAATGCGTGATCAGAAAGACTTCAGAAATTAGTGGAAATAATGCCCAGAATTTGTGGGGCCATCGTCAAATCGAAAGGCCAACATATTGATGAATAACGGCTCGATTGATTTATTTCGTTTTATTTCCACAAAAAATTAAAAGAAAATCACATATAATTGTCTACAACTCATTTATTAAATGTAACTCCAAACAAATACGTTGTATAAAATGGTCTGATATGAAAATTAAAGCGACAAATACAAAAAGAAACATTTTTTGAAGTGAGTCCAAACTTTTGCAGTGCAGTGTATATACGTACATATATGCCCCAAACCTAATGGAAAATGTGTGGGGAATACTATTAGGGCCAGTTTATACGGATAAATCTCAATTTGAAAACGTTAGATGTATGAAGGCGTTTTCTTTTCTCGGTTCGAGAACGCCCTATCCAAGAAAAATTTTCAAGAACGACCTATTTTAAAATTCGTTAAAAGAAACCCTGTATCAACATATATTCAATATATTTTCAGTTGAGATAGGACGTTCTTTCTTCAACCAAATTCTGAGGTCGGGAGAGAGAAAGTTGGCAGCCGCTTCAATGAGTTAAGGTCGTTCCTTGGATTTAAAATTATTATTAGCACATAAATAATTTAAATATATAGTTGAAAATTTACGAAAATCACTCATAAAAAAATGTAATGATTTTCTTCAATAACTTTTGCTTGTGTCTTTATTTGTTCAAAAATATGTACACATACATAAATACTTAAAACTTAGTAACGGGTGATTTTTTAAGAGCTTGATAACTTTTTTTTTAAAAAAAACGCATAAAATTTGCAAAATCTCATCGGTTCTTTATTTGAAACGTTAGATTGGTCCATGACATTTACTTTTTGAAGATAATTTCATTTAAATGTTGACCGCGGCTGCGTCTTAGGTGGTCCATTCGGAAAGTCCAATTTTGGGCAACTTTTTCGAGCATTTCGGCCGGAATAGCCCGAATTTCTTCGGAAATGTTGTCTTCCAAAGCTGGAATAGTTGCTGGCTTATTTCTGTAGACTTTAGACTTGACGTAGCCCCACAAAAAATAGTCTAAAGGCGTCAAATCGCATGATCTTGGTGGCCAACTTACCGGTCCATTTCTTGAGATGAATTGTTCTCCGAAGTTTTCCCTCAAAATGGCCATAGAATCGCGAGCTGTGTGGCATGTAGCGCCATCTTGTTGAAACCACATGTCAATCAAGTTCAGTTCTTCCATTTTTGGCAACAAAAAGTTTGTTAGCATCGAACGATAGCGATCGCCATTCACCGTAACGTTGCGTCCAACAGCATCTTTGAAAAAATACGGTCCAATGATTCCACCAGCGTACAAACCACACCAAACAGTGCATTTTTCGGGATGCATGGGCAGTTCTTGAACGGCTTCTGGTTGCTCTTCACTCCAAATGCGGCAATTTTGCTTATTTACGAAGCCATTCAACCAGAAATGAGCCTCATCGCTGAACAAAATTTGTCGATAAAAAAGCGGATTTTCTGCCAACTTTTCTAGGTAATAAAATTCAATGATTTGCAAGCGTTGCTCGTTAGTAAGTCTATTCATGATGAAATGTCAAAGCATACTGAGCATCTTTCTCTTTGACACCATGTCTGAAATCCCACGTGATCTGTCAAATACTAATGCATGAAAATCCTAACCTCAAAAAAATCACCCGTTATATGTAGTAAGGGTAGTAAATAGAATCTCACGATTTTCTTCTGACTACATACTTATTTACGGAAAATATTAATGAAAGTGTGGGTATGATTCTAAATATATAATTTGGCGCATGTGCTTCACGCTGTACTCACTTGACATTATGTATACTATATACATATGTACATATCGCCACATGAAATGCAAAAAGACATAACAACATCGCAACTGAAGTGGAAAAGGTTGTTGTCTTTTCAGAAAATGATGTGGTTAGTTGTAATTCGATGGAATCTTAACTTTCATAACTTTTTCCTAGTTATGACTTTTTGCATTTCAGCGATGATGTTAGCGTTTTTTCGCATTTAAGGTGGCGATATGTATTTATTCCCCCACTACGGGCAATAAAGCTACTATTCAGTTGCTATGAAACATAATGTGAACCTGAGTTTAACTTAATTATATTGTAAATTCATACGTCTGTATGTATGTATGTGTAAGCAATTCGTTCGTTCGTTTAAATTAATAAATGCTTGAATTTTGAAATGAAAAAATTATGTATAAATATTTTTATTTCTGATTATTACTTGGCGCAGCGCCTGGCTGCCAAAAATTTGCTATGGCACTCAATTGAACAGTTCAGTGTACTTTTCTTTAATGAGCAACACAAATACATTAATAAAAATATTATTTAAGATTAATTTTTTGAAATAAATATTATTCGAATTTTTTATTATCATTTTTTTTTGATTTTTTTTCAATTTTGCTTTTTTGCATTTGCTTTCTTCTACTGTTTTTTGGTATCGCATAGTTTTCACTAACTAAAAACTAAATTCTCGACTACAAATAAATATTTATAAATATACAATTTTATAAATAACCTAAAATTTAGTCATTCTCATGTTGATCATTGGAAAATTATAGCATTGATGTAAAAGTGATCAACTTTCATTGCATTAACTTAAATAGAAAGGATAGAGGAAGACGATAGAGGGATAGGAAGATTCGAAAATATTATAGCTAGAAATATTCTAGTGGCTTGGGATTGTGCCTTTATCAAATAGCTTGCTTCACATTTGTCAACATTTAGAAAGGTTGAGCCAAACCGTATTGGTTGTAGGCTAAGTCAGAGGCAGCAGCCTGGCCGTTGCGATTCCAGTCGGAGTGCACGATCTCGGCGTTTAGTGGGCTGCCGGTGATGTAGGCGGTGGTGATGTGTTCCTTCTTCTTGCCCAACAAGTCCTTGAAGAATGTGGCACCTAAATGCGCGTAAGAGAAATAAATGTAAATATTTATTTACATTAATTTGCAGCTTAAAAAGTCGAAGATCTATAGGAATTTTGCACTGCTACGCACCAGCAAGGATCAGAGCCAAAATAGAGATGGCCAAACTCTTGAGCGAGATGAATTTGATGATGCTGAAAGCAACCTTGCAGAGCACAGCCTTCTTCAGCTTCAGGATCAGGAGCAGCGGCAGGAGCATCTTCTTCATTTTCTTGCTGCGGGATTCTGAAACGTAGAAATGATGCATAATAAAATCGTTGGTTAGTCAATTGCCTTTGGAAAAATTTAACAGACAAATTAAAAGTTTCATAGCAAAAATGTAATTTCTTAGGTTTGCACAAAATATCTAAACAAGCGTTAGCCACCAACACATTGAAGTGGCAAACAGCGCCGGCCTGCAACTAAATATATCTACTAAACTTTCTACGCAATGCACTGCGTAATGATTTGGGTGAATAATGTGGTGGTGCCGGCAGTGTTGCCACCACTGCGGTGCAAAAGAAGATGAATTAATTTTTTGAATACAGTTTAGGCATTTTCAAAGGTTTTAACGTTATTTGTGCTTACAAAATTTGAAAATTATGATTAAAGCTTAGAATACAGCTCTCAAGAAAAATCACAAGGATTATTTTTTATTATTTCTATTGCTTGAATAAGCACTTTACTTTTGCGGTAAATTTTCTTAAAGAAATAAGTATATGTAAGTACATATTTTCTTGAGAGTTTCAAACAGACTTAACAAATTTTGATCAATGAAAATTTCTTTTCCATTTCTGCGCGTCATATTATATTAATTTTTTGCCGACTTCAAAAATGGAGGAGGTAAGCAATTCGACGGGATATATATTTTTTTATGTATGTTACCGCATAACGTTGAAGCACGTTAATCGATTACTATAATTGTTTTAAGGGAAGGTAGTGCCTCAGAGGTAGTGCCATACTAATTTGGTTTAGATTCGATCATTCGACCATGAAGAAATTAACGGTACTCTTAAATACTATATATGAGAATTGAAATCGGTTGGGTTTTTGCTTAAAACTTAATTGTTTGTTTTTTTGAGAGTATTGTAAAATTACTTTGAAAGGCATATGTGGTAAAATGTATATCCGTGCCCGTGCCGTTTTTTCGGAAGGAAAAAGTGAGACCGCAGGCTGTAAAATATCAAATGTCAAAACTCCTTGAACAATACTATTCACACACACGAAATAATAGCATTTTTTTCTGACCGTTTTCTTAAAAGCTCTGTACCTAGAGCTTTATACATTGAAATAAGCAAAATAAGCATGATCGTTAAAATTAAGCTTGGAAACCGTGAACAAGTAAACTAAGCAACTCCAAGCTAAAGCTTAAACTTTTCGGCCCTGGTTATAAATGCTGGTTGCCTGTGTTTGTATATGTACTTGACATCATCAAACTTGCCACCTAATACTTTTAATACATTATTAGAAAGAACAATGGTTTCTGAAGGAGCTGGCTTCACAGTCCGATTATTTCGATGGCCTCTTCAATAATTTCAATAAACCAAAATTTTACCGAAAAATCAACCATTTGGAAGCAGTGAAAAATAAATTTTTAGTTGAGTCATTACAATATTTCCGGATAATAAATTTTAATTGTATCGAAAAGTGGCAGATTGCTCGCTCCCTCCATAGTCGAAAGCGTTATAAAAGTTTTTCTGCTTTTGGCGAAACATGACGTTCGAAAATGCAAAGAATCACTAAAAGTTAATGACTGTATGGAGCGTAAGAGAGTATGAGTGTAATCGAATGGCTACTAAAATGAAGGCTTTTATTATAATGTAAGTTTTAACTTAGCATAGCACAGTGGTTGCATTTATATGGGGAGAGCGGAAATCGAAATAAAATATCTACCGCTAGCTCTGTTAAGAGTAAAACGTGTAATATGTAAAAGTGGGCGGGGTTGGACAGGCCCACTTACAGCCATGTGAAAAATAATAGGGACCCGACATTTTGACCAGCTGCGACCGTTTTCTTTTGTTTGTGTACAGCTCACTATATAACAAAAACCATGTAAGTCCATATTTCAAATTTTGTAGTAAAATTAGAAAAGTTCAAAAAAAGTGTACAACAACAACAAACTTTTTGCTAAGAATTTTTTTTTTTTTAAATCCAAGTATGCAATTTTATAGTCCAATCGCGTTGATTTGTGATAATTTTTTTACGCATGGTGTTCATATTTTCTTCAATACAAAAAAATATTTGGAGCATACCCGTACTTGTGTGGAAAAAAATGCGCTTTATTGTACTAAAATGCTTTATTATATATATGCAACCACTGTGCATATACAACTAGAGCATTATCAAATCAAAAGCATGCCCCATGATTACGTTCAGTTAACGCAACCCATTGGAAGTACTCGTAAAAATAATTGCAAGCTGGCAACCCAGAGAGCATGTTGTTGCAAAGGTATGTGTTGATGAAAAAGTTTGCGATTCGCCAAAGTAACCTAAAAGTATGCAAGCCAAATGCGTCTGTAGACCAACAAAACTTTAGCTATTTAAAGAAAGTGGCAAAGAAAGTTTTGAAATGGCAACAGTAGTGGCTAAGTAGATTGTGGCTTAGTAGATGACTAGACGACAGAAATGTTATTTCATTAGAACCTAACAAATGTATAAGAACGTGATGCCACTTTGCTAATCTCACTTGTCCGGGTGCTGGCAAGCAGGTGAAGTGAGCTTGAAGCCCAAGAGGTGACAAGAAACTGTTGAAAGTTGAAGTATGAGTGTGATCATAAAGCGTGGAAAACTCTTCACAGTATATACGTTTTAAACTATGCACATACATACTTGGATATGTAAGCATGTAGTAAGTAGTTAGAAATTGAAGCTTTTGCCGCTTGTTGAATTATGCTTTTGATGTGCTTAAACTGGAAATTAGCTGCAGAAAGCATGTCTGGCAATTGAATTTAATGCAGATAACAAAAAAGTTACATTTTCTAGCTTTTCATCACTGCGTTGCTGGGTTATTATGACTCGACTTCGCTAAGTATGCACATATATTTCTAACGACTTTATTGCTCTCCAAGTTTGTGCAAGACGGCGCCTTACTTTGTTGCCTTAAAATGTTGAAGGGCTTAGCTTAGCGGCAAGGTTTGAATTTATGAGTTTTGAACGCACCTTTACTGTTAATAGTTAACAATTAATGGAGCTTAAAAATGTGGGCTTTGGAGGTTATTGCTCCTTCGTTGCTAATTAAATTTGTTTTTAGTGCTGGTAGTGTGTGTGCTTGCAAAAATTTAAAAATGAAGATTTTAACGTGAAAATTTATTTCGAATAAAATTCTTTGGTACGGTACCTATCTAAATTTATTTTTAGTAATTTTTTCTGAAATATTCAAATTAAGAAATTTGCTTACCTGTTGGCCTCTTTATTGTTAAAGATTTTATTTACAACTAAAGGTGACTAAATTTAACACAATTTTTGAATTTTTAAACTTTCTATTTCTCTACTATTGCACAAGAATTCGATTTATAGTACATTCCCACTAAAGCTTAGCTGCAGTTCATGATTATTGTGAAAAGAAGATTACAGCCTCAATTGCTTGTATAGAGTAAAAGGAAACGGAAGTAAAAAAAGTAAAAAGGCAAAAGGTACAAACAAATAAACCTATCATCATTCCATGCTAAAATTCTAGGAACTTGCTTCAGCTCTTAATTGCAGTTAAGCTTTTGGTGGTAAGGGTTATTGCTCAAAAAAATTTGATTTACAAATAAAATATATTTTTAGTAATTTTTTGAATATTCAAATTAAGAAGTTTTTGCATTGACCTCTTTTTTCCAATGATGTGATTTAAAACAAAAAGTGGTTAAATTTACACATTTCCATTTCTTTAATTTGCAGTATATCGCATTTGAACTAAATTTTGAAAGAAATTGCATTGAGTGTATATTAATTTATTAATATTATATTATTATTAAATTAAATAAGCAGTATTTTTCTTTAAAGTTTTTTTTAATTTTTTTTTAATTAAATTATATTGGTATTAATTTTCTTTCAAGTAAAAATTAATTAATTTAATTAAAAAAATTCAATTATAAAAATTGTATTTTTTAATTGTGTGGTTATTTCCAGTTTCATTAATTAATTTAAAAATCTACAGCCTTGACCTTATGTATTAGGCGCTTCATTATTAATGATTTCTAGTTTTTCAAAGTCAAATATTGTTTATTTACCAGTAAATTTTTATTATTAAAGTATTAAGAGATTATTAAGAAAAAATATTAATATTTGGCCCGTTCACACTTTGATTCGGTTGACAGAAGCGTAGATTAACCGCGAATACACAGTTTTATAGCCCCACACATTTTAGCATAATAAAGTGCGAAATGCGAAAAAACCCCTTTAATTTTTGATGTTTTTTTTTTGGATAGTAGTGTGCATTAAGGGAAACTCAAACTTATGCTGCATTTCCACTAGGCATTAAATGGCAGAAATTTTAATGACAAACTTCGGCATTAAAAAATATTCTTGTCATTACTTAAAAAAAAAAATTGTCATTAAATTCATTTCCACGTGGCATCTTTTAAATGCCTAAAATTTTTTGTCTTTATGTAAAAAAGAAATCATTAGAGCAGCTTTATTTGGGTAATTTTCCCAAAATCATGATTAGTTAATTTTCAAACTACTTATGTACACAGATACATACATATAATTTATTTCATCGCTTTAAATTAGTCCGATTGGAGAAAATTGTAAAGAAGAACTCATGGAATATTTAATTTTAGTGAATCAAATTGTTATAAATAAATCAATTTATATTACGTGTAAAAAATATTTTTAGTAGATATTGTAAGGTGACCACCCTCCGCTTAGTAACGCCAGCGTAATAATTTGTTTAACTTTCGACAAGGGACGGGATTACAGCTCATAAATATGCAGGTCTATGCACACTCCCTCTACTTAGGTGAAGAAAAGCGTTCAAAAACTAAACAAAGCTGTATTGATTCTCAGGGCAAAATACTTGTGGAGGAAAAGCTTAACACCCGGAGTGATGGGAAGAGTTAAGAAGCAGCTGCCAAAAGTGGTAGCGGCCACATATGAAAACTGCGCGCAAGACAAACAACTTGCAGAACTTGCTGATAAGAAGCTGATGCTGGGGCAGAATGCGCGAAGAATATAAATTTCGTGCCCTTGGCTATTATAAACGAATTACAAACACATAGGGCCACAAATTCACAGTGCGTAGTTAACTCAGAATCGGCAGTTAACTACAGACTTTTGTACTGACTGCCGATTCTGAGTTAACTACTACGCACCGTGAATTTGGCATATACATACATACACGTCTATATGTACAAACACATAGCATGGTTTTATACATACATTGCGCATAGAAGGATTTGTCTGCAGGGCGTTTCTTTTATGCGTGGGATTCAATAAAGTTCAAGTAGCGTAATAATATACAAGTCAAGTGTGTATTGTAGTGGGTGGCAGATTAGGATCAAGTAAATTAAAAAAAAAAATACTTAAGGTCAATACTTAAGGTTTTAAATTTTTTAAAAAGTTTGTAAAAAATTGTTTTATGTATTTAAGCAGATACGCGTACATAAATGCCGTACATACCGTTGATTCCCCAGCCAGTGGGTAGGCAAGAAGCAGAAAAGGTGTTAACAAACATCAGCAATATATCACCGAACAACGGTATTTCATACCACGTTCTTTACTTGTGTAGCTCCGCAAGATTTCTGAGGTTTTTGTGCTCATTTAAATTTGCAGCATAAAAGAATATACAAAGATGCACACACACACACATACAAAACATGCATGGTGCACCCAGGGGAAAATGATCAATGCATCACTATTTTCTACTACGAAGAGATTAACGGCTACGTTTGAACGAAAAGATGGATCGCAGTGTAAGCGAGCGGGTAATGTGTAGTGAGGATAACCAAACATTCCATTTTCCCAAACGGAGACGATAGCAGGTATAGTGGCAGTTTTGAAGCCACAAACAAAAATAGTTTGAGAACAAATTTAAGTATGTCTTTTTGGCTGCCGTAGCCGAATGGTAATGCGCTCGACTACAAACTTTTGGGTCGCGAGTTCAGATCCTGCTGCACGGGCGCACGGAGTTTTATAAAAAAAATGATGCATCTTGTAAGATATAGTCTTTGAGGGCGATACATTACTTTCTATATTACCAAACCTTCCCTTTTCTTACTGGGCAGTTTTCAGTTTGCGCTTGTGCAGGTTAATGCCATTTGTGCAGCAATAAAATGCATATTGATCACAATCATTTGCTTCATATACCCGTATATATATGTCTGTACCACAAGGCCCAACAAAAAAGAGTCTCCATAGACCAATAGCTCTGTGGTCAGCAGTGTTGCCATTTTGATCCATATACTTCGAAAGGGAGCAGTGTATTTTCGGAAGATACTTTATTTTTTTTTGCTCATTTCGCGATGTATTTAAAATTTTCGCGTAGTACAAATTTTAATACATATTAAAGAGCAAATCGTCGTTTAAAGTACAAAACCGCGTATGAAGATAATGCAAAACCGTGTATGTGAGCTTGCATAAATTATTTTGCAGAGAGTAAAAACACTCATATTTCAAAATGGTTATCTTTTTTGTAAAGCAATCACATTTATGGCTAGTAGATTTCATTACGAATGGATAAGGATTGAGGCAAGAGCTTGCGTGAGGAAGTTTTTTCTAACTTTAAGTTTTTTCCAACTTTGATACTTAAATAAAAATTTGGTGATACATTTCATCAATTTTTAGTTCCTTTTACGAAACATTTTTTCACGATGTCGCGGCAACACTGGTGCTCAGATATTTTGTTCGATCGCTTTATTTATTCTAAGCACTTTGCTGTCAGAGTCCAGTAGCATATGTATGTATGTGTGTGTGTGTTCTGGTGCATTTTGCTCTAGTAGTGCACATACAATACAATATCTAATTGGCATTCGGGACTGCAGTAACGTCAAGTGGTGCATGCAAGTGTGTAAGGCCGTAATTACCGTTACGATTATTACTCAATTAAGGTGATGTCGAAGTTCAGCATATAAAAGTTATTATAAAGTTTTGCATTGGAAATGGTGCCACAATGGTGAATGAACTTGTTTGTTGTAACTGTATGTGTGCGTGTGTGTGTGGAGCGAATGCGGATGGCAAGTAGGCGACATTCGTAACGGTTATTAAATTGATTTTTTGTTTGCACGCTCTACTACTTTTTATTGATTTATGTCACAATAGCGACGTGCGACCGATTTTCAATGGCCAATTGTGTTATTGTGCCGAAAAATTTGTTTCGGTCAAGCGGCGGAAAGGGGGAAAGTTAGTGTTTTTTGAGTTTGATGGAAGTGGCAACATTGTTGCAAGGTCTTTATTAATTAAATAGTTGGGAGGCTTTGATAGGATCCCGAATAATTTTTTAAACAAATTTTTAAATATGAGAGCTAACTTTGGAAAAGTTGAAAGGAAGATAGAGAGCCTAAATGTTAAAATCTTTTTTAACTAATGCTGATTGAATTTGAAATATATACATACATTTATGTATATTTGAGCAAAATTTTTTAATTGCTCTGCAAAAGTATGTAGCAGAGATGACAAAATAAAAAAATATTAAAAATTAAATTTTTAGCACTACAAAAAATATAATTAAAAGGAGTACAATAATAAGTGAAAAAAACTTAAAAATAACTCGAAAAAAATTAAAAATAATATTTACTATTCAGTACCAATAATTAAAAACGGACATTAAAGGCCATGTTAATCATATCGTAGTTTAAAGTACAAAATCGCGTACCGTCATTCTGCAAAACCGCGTAACTGACATTGGCTGCCAAAAATTGAATTTGCTCACACAAGCTCTTGGCTCAATCCTTATCCATTCTTCCTGAAATATGCTCGCCAGAAATGCGATTGCTTTATTAAAAAAGAGAACCATTTTGAAATGTGAGTGATTTTACGCTCTAGAAAATAATTCCTACAACTTCACATACGCGGTTTTGCATTTTGTTGATTTTGCACTTTAAACGACGATATATATATATATATATACTGTCCTTTTTACTGTAGTATGAACCATATTTTGTATGTACTCGCATGTATTTGACCTTATATACAGATCGGACAACTGAAGAAATGTGACATGAAAGGGCAAAAGTCTAAGCCATTATCAAAAATGTTTTTAAAAATTTTCATTGTGTACAACTAGGTAATTTAGTTTAGTAATGATATTTGCATGAAAAAAACTGCGTTAAACACAATGGACAATGCTTTGTTTCATTAAATACGGAACACATATTTTTCACTAAAAATTGCTTGGTCTTTCCAATTATTAATCCACATTGCATTATATTTTTGAGTTCATACGGATTTTCTAAAACATAAACGAATTTCAACGCACTTAAAGAATTCAAGTTTTTCAGAATTTTCTACTTTAATTCCACTTTTCACTCAGTTCATCTCCATCAAATATTTTTTCCACTAACTATGTATTTATTTAATTTTTTTCTATTGCTTTTTGTCTTACCCTCCATGGCGCGTGCGGCGTATTCGTTCTCCGTCTCCTCATCCTCATCATTGGGCAGACCGAAGTTCAGTTCGTGTGTGGCCAGATAACGTTCGACGCGTTCGTCGACTGATTCGATGCTTTTTGCGGAGGCGCCAAAAGAACGACCAGTTTCTGTACGTTCAACGCGCAAGCCAGCAAAAAGTGGCAGCGTTTCGGTGCTGTCGACTCTGTTGATCAAATCAATAATATCCTTTTCGCTGTTGTCCAACTGTTGCTGTGAGGGCAAGGCGGCAGCGCTGCAGATGAAGGAAGCGACGAGTACGGCACAAACGAATTTCGAACACATTTTAATTGAGTTTTTGTTTATTCTAATCTATTTTTTTTTTTGTTGTGTTAATTAATTAATCCGTTTTATCGTGGGTTGAACACACACACACAGCACACACCGTTTGAAGGTTGAAATTGTTTTGTGATTGATTAAGTGCCAAGCACAGCTATTTATACGAGGTGAATCTATCAAACCGAATTGCAATGCATCGAATTCAAAAGTATCGAATTTAAGGTGTAAGGTAGTGTCGTCGCCGCGACTTAGGCAATGCGTAATCGAAAAAGATCCAACTTTTTCCAATTCCTATTTTGTCTACTAGAAATCGGAAGGCAAGAAAATATGCAAACGCCAAAATGCGCAACAACAATACGCACTTGCGTTAACGGTAGGTCGACTTGGTCATGGCATGGGGGAAGGGGGTGGTGGTGGTGGTCAATGAAGAAGCGGCAAGCACGCGCGCTATTGCATTATAAATAAGCAAAATTGAAATTGTCACTATTGAGCGCTACACAATGCTAAGGTAACGCGTATGCCTGCGACAATCTGGTTACCTCCGGCTAGCCACTCGATTTTGATTTTTGGACGCACTGTCCGTTGCTTGTCTTTTTTTTTTTTTTTTCGACATACATTTCCAAAGTAAAACAATTTCTTGTCCATAATTGCATGACTGCCAGCAGCAAAAACAACATTTAGACTTTGCATACATATGTATGTAGTAGTACTTTTATTAGTTAGGCTTCGAGTGCACAAATTCAATGTCTGTGTTGACTTCTTTACCTTTCTTTGGCCTTCTCAGTTGCTTCTTTCGGCCACATTTTATGCTTCTGACTGATTATGTGTGCAGCTTGTTTTTGTTGTTGTTATTATTTTTACACCCGCGTCGAATGAAAGGGAAGTCAGTCACCAACTCATCGCACACAGCCCCGGTAGTTGCCAGTCAAAAAGCATAACTTAGAAAAAGAAATATGCCATTTCAACATGAATTGTTGTTGCATTTTATTAGCATTAATATGCGTATTGCGTATAGGAGCCGTATATGTGTCACATACAGAAATACATACATACATATGTACATAAATTCACCTGCTTACGCATGTACCTACGTGATTTTATTCAATTATGATTGCTGGGCATCTGAAATTGTGTGTAAATACTTCGCTTCGCTTCGCCACACCCCAGCACACGCACGGCTTGCTCCAAATTCTTTTTCATACATTGCGCCTAAGTGCCCACATACCAGAATTGATTTCTAGTTTTGTTGGTATGAAAGTTGGCGCTTTATTAATATTTTGACGGTGTTCCTTTGATGGCAATTACTTATCTATGTATAAGTATGTATGTTGATAATGCGCAAATTCTGCTATTATACGTTGTTAAACGGTATTTACGAACTATGTCTTTTACCAAGAAAAATAAAATACTCCCACTCCTTGGCCAACTCACGTTGCCCATCAACTCGCAATTTCAGGTAATTGACATTCCCTTACGCTGGGCTTTATGTTATTTTATGTCTACCCATCGTAGCTCAACGACCCAGATTCTCTTCTTTTACTCACGTTAAGTTGCTTTCGATTTCAATCATTTTCTGCGTTTGCTACTTTTTTCGTGGTACGAAATATTTGTTGGCACAGACATACGAGTACACAAATAAAGTTTATTTTTGAATTCAAGTGGCTTTCCACGAATACATAAGCAATAGGGCTGGGAGTTCTATCAAGATATTGTGGATGTCCTGATAATATGGATATTCAAATAACTTATTAAAAAACTCGAATACCTGGATACGCAAATAAAATAATGAACGGATATAAACCGGATATCCAGATTTTCGAAAAATTAGGTGTTTGTGTATTAATGAAGTGTTCAATTATTTATTTTGCACATCAATAGATTCAGTAAAATTGAAATATATATATTTTACTAATCCGTTCAAGTACTGTTTGGAATATGCGGATAACCGGTTATCATTTGTTCTAAATAAATGGTATGTATGTCAGTTACCATACAATGCGAAATTTAGGGAGCACTGCTCGTTCCTTCACTCGATCTAGACGAGATGAGAACAACAATAATGCGACTTGCAAACAACAAGCCCTCTGAAGCCGTCGGAATGATGTTAAGATCCCCAACATATATGTAATCCGATCGCATGGGCGACGGATACGGAACATGATGTAATGACGAACTGTAACAGGTATGGTTGAGGACGCTCTGATCATTTGCCTCGGTACCCAAGAGTGGACAACGACAGCTAAACAATTTTTGAAGTGAAACTTCTTTAGCGGCGGTTGGTTTGTTGGGTGTAAATTGGCAAATTCAAAGGAAATAATGTAACGGAAATGGTTGGGGCTGAAACAAGTGCTTCTTGTGTGTATGCATATGGTATTAATTTAGCAAAAATTTGCTAACAAAAGATTAAAGAATAACACTTAGAAAAACACCAATACAACAATGAAAGTAAAGGTGACTATTTACGTACATAAATGAAGAAAAGGATAAGGCAAAGGTAAAAATAAAAATAAAAACAAAAACAAAGTTGCGTAAAATTAAAGGCAAAAATGAATACTAAGGTAAATCTAAACACTTTACATATATATGTATATAAGGACAAAGGTGAAGGGAAATATGTAGATGAAGAAAATGATAAACATTAAAGTAAAGACAAAGAGGAGGATGAGGAATTGATAAAAGCAAAGATGAAGATAGGGGAAGAAAGATTAAAATAAAAGTAATTAAAGAGAAAAGGATATAGAGAGAACCACAGAGCCTCAATCAGGGAACTATTTTTAGGATTTTAAAAATTTTCTGGATTCTCAGGATTTATCGATAAAATAATCGATATTTTAATCGGTTTTGTTATCGATTTTTTTATCGATATTTTTATCAATTTGACTATCGATATTTTCGGAACTTATCGACATAATAGTCGATATTTTTATCGATTTGTTAACGATATTTTTATATATTTTATTATCGATATTTATGGATTTTGTTATCGGTATTTACCGATTCTGTTATCGATTATGTTATCAATTTTGTTATCGATGTTTATCGATTTTGTTATGGATTTTGTTATCGACATTTTTATCGATTTTTTTATGGAAATTTTTAGCGATATTTTTATTTATTTGGAATTTTGTATCGATTTTGTTATCGATATTTATCAATTTTGTTATAGATGTTTTTATCGATATTTATCGATTTTTTTATTGATATTTATCGATTTGGTTATGGATATTTTTATCGATTGTGTTATCGATATTTTTATCGATTTTGTTATAGATATTTTTAGCGATATTTCTATCGAGTTTCTAATAGACTTAGATAGATAGATCGATTTTGCTATCGAAATTTTTATCGAATTTTTCATCGATTTTGTTAGCGATATTTTGATCGGTTTTGTTATCGAAATTTTATTGGATGTTACTCTCGATAGAGTATAAATATAAAAATTAAAATAAAGGAAAAAAGAATAACATAAATGGAATTAGAACAGGGGTAGAGGTAGGGATCTAGATAGAAAAAAGACAACAAATATAACCTTCAGCGAAAGCAGCTGTACGTATGTATGTACATATGTATGTATGGATATTGGTTATGAGACAAAACATATATGTATGTAACGTAAGTTTCACTTTTCCAGTGTGGCCCAGGCGCACTTTTTTTTTGTTGTTAATGATCGATGACAGAATTATCATACTACTCCAAGATATGATACAGATGGCCCAAATCGCCGAAAATGAAACCAATGGAAAATTGTTTTATCCCAGATTACACAAGCCACACTTCTGATTATTTTTACATTTCGTTTGGCAATCGATGGAGTTCATTTAATTTCGGAAAAGTGGCGAAAAATTCAAATTTTCAAAAAGCCGTTTAAAAGGGTTCAGGCGTTTTAGAAGAGTCAAATGGCAGATATAGTTGGTTGCAAAGGAAACATAGACAAATCTGATCAAAATGTCGTGTTCCTTTTTTGATCGCCAGGGATATAAGATAATTTAGCTGGATGCTTTCTACTTTCAGATCGTTTATAATAAAGGTAAACTGTACCCTTATGGAACCATTTCATATCCTAAGTCTTTCGTTGACATAATCTACATAATTAGTATCATTCAGTTCTTGTTGGATTAATTTCAATCATTGCAATTGTGAAAAATTTTGTTCTCGCTTCCATTCTTTGCGAACGGTTCGGAGAAGACTTGTTGCCGTTTCGTTCTATCTCAGAAAGTTCCTGAGAATATATTTCCCAAATTGCCTTCGAGCAAAAATTCCGTAGACTTCTATTTCCGTTTAGTTCTTTTCCAAAACGTTCCGAAGACTTTTGTTCTCATTTTTTTCTCTTAAAAATTTTCCCGAAGTGATTTTTGCACTTTGTTCTCTTTGGAAACGTTCCACAGGATTCTGTTTTTATATAATTCCCATTGAGAACATTCTCGACGGTTTTGTTCTCATTGTGGTTTCGATTTTGAAGCGTTCTTGGGAACAAAACTACGAGAACGAAATTTAGTTTCGATCAAAATGTATTTAACGAAGTGCGATTGAATTTGACATTGCTCTCACAAAAACCATCCTATAATGCCAAATTGAAAAAAAAAAAAATTTATGAATTTTGAACCTTAAAAGTGCTCACTGAGTTGTCAATCACACCTTGTTTACTATACCTTGGTTCCGATCATCGCTTTTGTTCCCGGTCCCTAATCTTAACAACCTTTCTGATATCAATTGCTCAGGCGGAATTTTACATCATATCAAAATCCTCCTGAAGAAAGCTTTCAAATGGCAGACTTTGTTTTTTGCAAAGCAGCCTAATATACAGACTTATATTTGTAGATTTTTCATAAGTACTCAGCAAACAAAATGCAATTTATATTTTCTAGAAAATTACAGTTTTAGTTATAAGATTAATTAAGAGACTAAGTTCCTTTCAAAGATTGTCTCGTCATCCTTTGGCATGTGAAAATATTTGTTCCTGAAGGCTTCTGGCTTTCGGTCTATGTAGTTAGTTCGCAATATATTCT